GTTTCTCTGCTATTCATAAGGTTTTCAGTGACTGAGTATTCGAAAGTAGTTCGTCACTCCTTCTTCCTAGTCTATCTTTGTCTAGAAGCTCATCTGAAACCTGTCCACCATGGGTGACCCTGCTGGTATTTAAAATACCAGTGGCGTAGCTTTTAGAATCACAGCAACTCACAAGCCACCACAGTATGAAATTTAAAGTGACAGTTTCCCAGACTCATAGGGACCTCTATAGGGTTTTTGAGGAGCAACTGGTGGATTTAAACTGCTGACTTTTTGGTTAGCATAGTAGTTAATAGTCCAGAGCTTTTTCTATAGGACTATTTATTTATTTTTCTTGATTTCTTCTTCATTTGGAAGTTCTGTAATGACATTACTCCCTCTATATACTTTATGGTTTTTTTAGTTGTTTTTGCAAACTGATTTCTCTAGTTCCCTACTTCAGTCCTATAGGTTTGTTTAACTTTGAATACTTCTATATCTGGTTTGAGTTCTGGGTAATGTTGTCATGTATATTAGTCTCAGTTTGTTGTCTGTTATTGTGGTTTTCTGTCTTTGGTGTTTTTTATAAAGTTGTTCTGACTTTTGCAAATTCTTTTAATTTCTGTTTATTTGGAAATACTCTTATTTAGCTGTCATATATTTGAGGGACAGGTTTGCTGGGTATCTGATTGTTGTTTTGGCAAGGTTGGATAATGGATCTACCATCCATTCTCTTTTTGCCTGCATGGTTTCTGCTGAGAAATCAGAGCTTAGACTCATTAGTTCCTCTTTGTAGGTTACATTTTGTTTCCCCCAAGCTGCTCTCAGGATTCTTTTCTTTCCGTAGTTCTGAAAAATTTAACTATAATATATCTTGGTGATTTTCTTTTGGGAGTGTCTATTCTGTTTGGAGTTCATTTAATTTTTTAATTTTTTTTTTTGATGTAGGAGGAGGAAGCATCATATTTTTCTGGATCCTCACAGTAATAAAGATGACCAGTGTGCATATTGATAGAAGAGGGACCCCTGTTATTCTGAGTATCTAGATAATGGTACAGGCATTAAAAAGGCACTCTGAGTATCAGCTCAACTCACAGCAGTTCTCTCAGGTAGAAGACACTAGACATACACTTTGCTCATAGGTTGTTGTTGTTACGTGCTGTGGAGTTGGTTCTGACTCATAGCGACCCTGTACAGGGGTTTCGAGGTTGTAAATCTTTACGGGAGCAGAAAACCTCATCTTTCTCCCATGGAACAGCTGGTAGTTTCGAACTGCTGACCTTGCTGTTCGCAGTCCGATTTGTAACCACAACGCTACCAGAGCTCCTTTTACTTATAGGTAGCATGGATGTTTACATTAAACAGAATGTTTGTCCCAGGCACTGAAACTCTGCATTCTCTCATTCATTTTCTGTGGAGGGTTCATTTTTCTGAATCTGCCACACTTCGTTATTGCTATTAAGCAATTCAAAAGGACTGTTGTAGCCTGCAGTGTAGTAAACTTTTTCATTGAGAACTTTTACTTCTTCCCTCAAAATGTTTGCTGATGTCAAAAGTTGTTCTTGACTCTTTTGGGCACTAGAGGAGCCATAGAAAGGCCATACAAATACAGTCATTTTGTCTCTGTCAATGAAGACATCTGTCTCTGAAGGCTTGGGTGGATCAGATTGCTCTCTCATTCTTGCCTTTAAAGTAAGTCTGGATGGCTGAATCCCAGTCCATAGATTCAACGGATGTGCTGACCCACTTGGCTGGTCCATAGTATCGGATCTCATAACTACCGGGCTGGGGGTCTGCGTCCTCTAGGGCCTTCCAGCCCGGCATCTCCAGGGCTTGAGCCACCGCACCCTCCGTGGCTCCAGTGTCGGGCTTCGGCCCATCTGCCATGGGTGGCGCCGACATGGGATGTAAGAGTCAGGTGAGCTGTGCCGCGAGGGTTGTCCGGCACCTGGGGCCGCCAGCTCCCAGACCTCTGTGCGCTACACTGCAGAGTGCATCCCACCCCTCATTTAACTTTTTGAATGGCTTATCTTCTCTTTAATGATGTTAGGGAAGTTTACTTCCAACTCTTAGACAGTTTTTTTTTTTCTTTTCTTTTCTCTCTGTGTTTGTCTCTTTCTGTTGTGGAATTCCAGTCAGATAATTTATTCCTCTTGAAACTGTCCCACATAAATCTTTGGATTTTTTTTTGGTTCTGTTTTCTGATTGTTCCTCTAGCAGATGATACTAAGAGATTAGTCTTCAAGCACAGTCATTTGGTCTTCCGTTGATTCAATTCTACTTGAGTCCATTGATTGAATTCCATTAATTCAATTTTACTGGCTAAATTTAGTATTCTTGTATATATGTGATTTCGTACACACACACACACAAATGTGTAAAGTATATTTCAATAAATTTCCCAAAGTGGAATTGCTGGGTATATAGATATGTAATTTTGGTAAGTGTAAACAGATTGCCATCTGTAGGTATTGTACCATCAGATAATATTAGTTAAAACCAATACCAGTATTTGGTGTTTCTTAAATATCATTTTTTAAAAAGAATAGCCACTCTGATTTTTGGTTTTGCTTTTATTCTTATTCTTTGCTGAGTAGTTACTCAAAAGAGTTATAGTGTAGATTATCTGAATTTAGATAAGAGAAAGAAAATCCTCGAGATCATTGATTCTTACTACTGACCAAAGACTGTCAAGGAGTTCTTAAATTTACATGATAAATAAAATAAACAAGCAAACAAAATGTTGTTAAGAGCTGGTGAGTCATAGTTCCAACTCGTAGCTACCCTGTATAGGGTTTCCGAAGAGAGGCTGGTGGGTTTGAACTGCCAACCTTACAGTTAGTAGTCCAGTACTTTCCTACAGCACCATACCAGGACTCCAAATAAACATTAACTATAGTAAAACTTGGAATCCTGGTGTGGCATTGTAGGATAAGCACTGAACTACTCACCCAAAGGTTGACAATTCAAACCCACCATCTGCACCATGGAAACCCTATACAGAGTTGATATGAGTCAGAACTGACTTGATGGCGCTTAATTAACAACAACAGTAAAAGTTGGTAAAGCTGAAACTTGTGTAAGGTGGACACCTGTCATAAAAGGGAAACTAAAACATTTTCCACTAATTGTGGAAATACTTCACCCTGCCAAGGTGAAAACTTGCAAGACCTGAGTAAACAAAACAGATCTACTGAGTTCTGGCTCTGTCTGGTCTCACTGTATGAGAGGACTTCAAGAAGTTCATGGAATAATCCTATTATTTATTATTATTATTTTAATTCTATTATTTTTAATTCCATTTTTCCATGACATTTTTAAAGTCCCCTCGTATATACAAAATAAATGTCTTGTGCACATATGTATATGATATATTTCAAATGCAGATGATTGCTATTATGTTTAATAGTGTTATCTATTATCAGCTAATGATAGCTTAACACCTTATATAGTTGTTTCCAGTGATTTCGATGATCCTTGGATTTTAATGGCATGATAGTTTCATTTTGTGTTCTACCAGCCTTTTTTTTCCCCCAGTTTGGTGCACAGGTATATAGAGCAGAACCAAGTAACTATGCATATGCTATGAATATACACTTGAATGTTTTATAATAGAAATAATATTTTTCTTGTAGATATCCCTTTAAGGACCAGCTTGCCACCACCATTCCGAAATTATAAATATGGTAACTAATTTTCTTATTCTTTTAAAACATACCTTGCCCTATTTTTGCATATGACACAACCAAATATGTTGCACACACATGTATATAATATGCTTAGCATGCACAGGAAAATAGCATGCAAGGGGGTTGCATGGCTTGCCAAAAAAGTGTATTGTGTGTGTGACTGATATGAAAATACAGTAATGAAATTTTATAGTAGTTTTATGTTGATATTAATTTAAATTTGATATTCAAAAACTGGTTTCATGATCTGTAAATAGAAACCAATTTGGAAGCTTACTTAGAAATATAGGAATCATAGTTCTGGTGTTGTGCTATAGATAAGCATTGGACTGCTAATCACAAGGTCAGTAGTTTGAACCCAGCAGCTGCTCCCTGGAAACCCTGTACAGGGTCATTATGAGCCGGGACCAACCTGATGACATTTAACAATAACAGCAAAGTATGTTGTTAAAGTAGCTATTTGTGAAAGATAGTATATTTGGGAAAACTGTGTCTAAAATGAATAGTCCTTCGTTGATGCAAATGGTCAGTGTGCTTGACTACTAACTGAGATGTCAGAGATTCCATGGAAGACAAGTCCAGAGATCTATATCTGAAAAATAAGTCTTTAAAGACTATATGGAGCCAAGTCCTACTCTAACACACATAGAGGTTCCATGAGTCAGAATCAACTCAATGGCAACTGTTTTTTTTTATTTTTTATTTAAATGTCTAAACTGAGTTTCCTTGACAGATTATAAGAAAAGGAAAACCAAAGGCTAAGAATTAAAATAAGAGGTTTACCATTATGAATGACAATAACTTAAGCATTTCATATGCTAGTTTTATATGCTGTAATTGGTGATTTCAAAGAGTAGTAATAAGGGAGGAACAGATTTCATTATTCAGTATAAAGAAGTTCCAGTTAACTAACCTGTGGTGTACTGATGTGCCCTAAACTCTGAATTTGAGACTTCACTTGAAAGTTACAATGCATCTAATAAGTATTTCTGTTCATTGGTGCTGGTATTTAAAAATTGAAATATTTTATTATTTTAAATCACTTTTTTGGAGAAGTTTTTAATTCTGTTCTCATTTGGTAGAGCAACTTATGACCCAAAATACTTTGAAATTGCAGTCTTCATTGTGCATATGCATTTTAATATCCAGACTAATTGTGAGGTCATAAGAGGTAGTCAAGCAGAATTTGAAGGCACTGAGTGGAAATCACTTCAATTTATTGGACTTAAAATGTGCATGTTAAATACTGAATAAGAGAAAGGAGTAAAAGCATGGTTACAGTAACTATGAAACTTCTTAATGGTGGTTTCCATGGCTCTCCTTGTATAATGTTTTGAAATAGAATCTTAAACTTAAATCAACCCACAGATGCCATTTCAAATTAGAATACATACAGTTTCCATTTCTGCATGGTTTGTGTGTATATGTTTGCATAACATACAGACCTCTGTTCCATGTGGGTTACACATAGACAAACCTGTTTTCCATGTAGGTTAGTTTGAAATATAAATTTTAGATAATGAAAGTAGCAGAATGTCCGAGTTGAGTCTCTGGCACAAACGTTTAAGTGCTGAACTGCTGACAAAAAGATTGATTCAAGCCCACTCAGGTGCCTCAGAAGAAAGGCCTGGTGACCTACTTCTGAAAGGTCACACCCTTGAAAACCCTATGGGGCAAGATGGTAAAATAGGCAGATACATTTCATAGACCCTCTACAGCAAAGATACAGAGACGGCAGTCCTGGAACCGTAAGCTTCAGGGTTCAGAGGAAAGGTTAGAGAAGTGAAAACCTATTGGGAGGAGAAGATGAGCAGAGGAAGTGAATGAAAGGGAAGGACTAGTGAATGGTCTGCCTGCCTGACATGGTGCAACCAGCTTGAACTTTTTGGAACCACTTTGGAAGGATAGATGATGTGAACCCTAAGCTTCAGGGTTCAGATGAAAGGTTAGAGAAGTGCAAACCTATTGGGAGGAGAAGATGAGCAGAGGAAGGGAACGAAAGAGAAGGACTAGTGAATGGTCTGCCTGCCTGACACGGCACAACCAGCTTGAACTTTTTGGAGCCACTTGGGAAGGACAGATGGTGCAGTACAGATTCATATGGTCAAAGGAAAAGGTGAGATTTCTGCTAACTTCCCACACTTCCTTGGAGAAGTGAGGCTGGCCCCCATCCTCATCTACCCCAAGCACAGACCTTGCTTTCAGAAGTTTGGAGTCATATGGTTGTGAGCAAGTCTGAGGTGGGTGTCTGCTGCACTGCCTTGGCACCTGGATTCAGACTGTCTCTACTCTAGACCCACAGAACTCACAGAACCTCCAGGCCAAAATTAGACAAACAGGAACCTTCATAATCAGCCATCCTGACCCCAGCTGCCCTCTTGTTCTTACAGACACTGAAACCAGCAACCTGAAGGACTTCCATAAACTATTTCCAGATTGGGTCCCCTGAACATGTGCAACATCTGGTCCTATAGGAACTCCATCTATGGCTGGGAATTAAGCCGTCACATCTCTTGTGAATTCTTTGACTGGCAGGAACCCCCCAGAGTTTTCTCTTCTCTGTGTCCAACAACTGCACGGATATTTTTGTTTGTTTTGGTTTCCTTTTGGTGTTTCATTGTTTTTATTTGTTTTGTTTTTATCCTCTCTTCTCCTTCTTCCTCTCTTTCCCTTCCCTTAATTTTTATCCTTTGTATCTCTGCTTAGTTTTTTTTTTTTCTTTTCTTTTCTATGGTTTTTCACTTCCAATATCCTCTTCATTGATACCCTAGGCATTAGTGAGCTGAAATGGACTGGTATTGGCCACTTTGAATCTATCACATGGTTTGCTGTGCCGGGAATGACAAATTGAAGAAGAATGGTGCCGCATTCATCATCAAAAAAAAAACATATCAAGATATGCCTTGAAGTACAATGCTGGCTGATGGGATAATATGTATATGCCTACAAGGAAGACCAGTTAACACCACTATTATTAAAATTTACGCACCAACCACTAAAAGCCAGTGATGATGAAATTGATGAATTCTACCAACTTCTTCTGTATAAAATTGATAAAATATGCAACCAAGATGTGCTGATAAATTACTGAGAACTGGAATGCCAAGGTTGGCAACAAAGAGGAATGATCGGTAGTTGAAAAATGGCCTTCTTGGTGGTAGAAATGATGCTGGTGGTGATCGAATGATAGAATTTTGCAAGACCAATGACTTATTCACTGTAAATACCATTTTTAAACAACACAAAAGATGATTATACACATGGACCTCACCAGATGGAATCCACAGAAATCAAATTGACTACATCTGTGGAAAGAGACTGTGGAAAAGCTCCATATCATCATTCAAAATAAGGTGAGGGACAGACAGTGGAACAGAACATCAGTTGTTCATATGCAAGTTCAGGCTGAAGCTGAAGAAAATTAAAACAAGTCCATGAGAGCCGAAATACGACCTTGGACATATCCCACCTGAATTTAGAGATATCTGAAGAAGAGATTTGATGCATTAGACACCAAAGACCAAAGACCAGAAGAGTTGTGGGATGACATCAAGAATATCATACAGGAAGAAAGCAAAAGGTCATTAAGAGACAGGAAGAAGGAAAAGACCAAAATGGATGTCAGAAGACTCTGAAACTTGCTTTCCAGCATAAAGATGCTAAAGAAAATGGAAGAAATGAGGAGGTAAAAGAACTAAATAGAAATTTTCAAAAGGCAGTTCAAGAAGACAAAGAAAAATATAACAAAATGTACAAAGAGCTGGAGTTAGAAAACCAAAAGGGAAGACATGGTCAGCATGAGGGAAGTGAAGAAGAAAATTCAAGCCTTGACATACTATGTTGATAGATTCTTTGGCCAAAACATTGACTGATTCAGAAACCTCAAATGAAGATGGAAAGAATACACAGAGTCACTATACCAAAAAGAAATGGTTTGTATGTTCATTTAAAAAGATAGCATATGATCAAGGTAATACTGAAGACAGTAGTCCAAAGTACATTGAAGGCATTGGCAAAGAACAAGCCTCCAGGAATTGATGGAATACAAATTGAAACCTTTCAACAAACTGATGCAGCACTAGAGGCATTTATGCCAAGAAGGTTGGAAGACAACTACCTGGCCAACTGAATGGAAGAGATCCATATTTGTGTCCATCCCAAAGAGAGGTGACCCAACAGAATGCAGAACTCATCAGACAATATCATTAGTATCTCATATAAGTAAAAGTTTGCTAAAGATAATACAAAAGCAGCTGCAGCCTTTTTTGAAGAGAACTTCCTGAGGTTCAAGCTGGATTTCGAAGAGGATGTGGAATGAGGGATATCATTGCTGATGTTGGATGGGTTTTGACTGAGAGCAGAGAACATCAGAAAGATGTTTGCATGTGGTTTATTGACTTTGCCAAGACTTTTGATTTTGTGGACAATGACAAGCTATGGACAACATTGTGGAGAATGAGTATTCAGGAACACTTACAAAGTGTACATAGACCAAGAGGCAGTTGTGTGAACAGAATTAGGAAAAGTGTGTGCCAGATTTGTATTCTTGCACTATGCCTGTTCAGTCTGTATGCTCAGCACATAATCCGAAAAGCTGGACTATATGAAGAAAAACGTGGCATCAGGGTTAGAGAAAGACTCTTTAACAACTGGGATATGCAGATGATACAACCTTGCTTTCTGAAAATGAAGAGGACTTAAAATATTTACAGATGAAGATCAAAGACCACAGCCTTCAGAATGGGTTGCACCTCAATGTAAAGAAAACAAAAATCCTCACAATTGGACCAATACATAGAATCATGATAAATGGAAAAAAAATTGAAGTTGTCAAAGACTTTAATCATCAACACTCATGGAAGCAGCAGTCTAGAAATCAGACAACATATTGCATTAGGCAAATCTGCCACACAAGACAAAGTGTTGAAAAGCAAAGATGTCAGTTTGAGGACTAAGATGCACCTGGCTTATATTTTCAATAACCTCATATGTATGTG